TCTATTTAATATAATAATAATATCTGAGTACACTAATTCTTGTAACGATCAAATATGATATTTTTATAGCTTTATTTTAGTGAATTATTAACATAAAATAATATTTTATTATTATTTAATATATTTGATAATATATGAAATATCAAGCTTATTAAATAAATAACATAATAATTTATTGATAAATAATAAAATACACTTTTGTATACATAATTTATTCAACTAAAATTTTGTTTAATTACTCAATCTTAATTACCTAGAGAGCCTGCTGTTTCCAAAAGGCAAGGACAATATATAAAATATAAGCCACTCAAAATTGGCCATAAACGTGATGTATCTCTAAGCACTTCACACGCATTCCTTGCATAATCCTACATAGGAGTTGATTACTTTATTACATATTTAATTCAGAGAAGATTAATGACTGTACAATTGAGTCGGTTAGAACATTGAACTTGCATTATTTTTTTTTCCATTAATATATGATTTATTCGCCATTAAAAGGGCGTTTATGTTGGGGGGTGTTTGACTAAGGTATATTTAAATTCATTAGGTTTGATAACGTGGTTTAAGAAAAGAGATTAGATAATGAGAGTAGAGGCAGTTCCAAGTTTGATATATCCTTTAGAAGGTTGGAGAAGAAACAAGCTAATTAGTCTTTCTATGTAGCATTAAATGAGGGGGTTATTCGTTTGAAGTCTATTGGACAAGAGGGAATTCGGGGGGTAGCCATGGGAGGTAACAATAATATAAGATTTGTTCTTGTTGTTTATTATGCTTTCGCATGGCTTTTCTTGGATTTGGTTGCGTCCTATCAACTATCTACTCCAATGGCTCTGCCTCAAGAAAGAGCTAGCCACTTGGCATATTAATGGCGCATCATTCTTTTAATTAGTAGCAATTTATGTAACGTAGAGAAGACCAGGGGTAACGTGGTGACATGTTTTCGGAAGAACTAAGAATCCTGTAGCAAAAATCAAATGATCTTTAAAATATTGATTGAAAAATTAAAAATGATTTTTTTTAATAAAAAGATACTATTAATATAGTCATGATTTTTAATACTTTTTTATTTATTTATTTAACCAGCAAACACCAGTTAATAATATCCAAATCAAATTCATGAAACTATTAGTAGTGATTTAATATCAATTGATTAGTGAATGATTTGTGTAGACTAAGAAATCATAAATTTAAATTTTCATGTTGTGATTGTAAAAAGATAAAAATCCATGGTAGATGTGAGATGATCGACTATATCCATTGGAATTCCAAAAATAAGAAATAAACAAAGTGTTTTTTTTTTTAAACGACTTTATTAATTTTTGGCTGATTGATTGAATTTGGCTGAAAAACAATTACATCTAATCTTTTAATAAGGTGGAAAAAAATATTTGTAATGCTTAATTAAAATCCGATAGTGAAAGGTGTTGGGGCCACGACCTGCTTGCTGTGGGCAATATGATGCAAATCGAATGTGCCTTCCATTATCATGGAATGATATCACTGGTTGTGGTTTCATCTCTTCCCTTTAATTTCCTTATTTAGATTAGTTAAATATTTAGATAGATTAGTGACTTAACAACCGCAAATTTTATGGTATCAAATTGCCATGGTTTGAAGTGATCGGATAGTGATCCATTAAAAATAATTGGTAATCATTGAAAACGCATCTTGCATCCAGATACTTGGAATCCATGATCGGATGCATTCATTTGGGAAACATGAATGGTATCCTCATGCTTTTCATAAAGGGAAGATATCATTACACCATATTATACTATATAGTAAATAAGGGTTAGATTAATTAGGACAATATCAATCTGGTCAACAAAAAAGCCTTTAATTCACTTTATTTTATTTTATTTTTACTAATAAACGATTTGTAGATCATCTCTGAATATCATATCATATCATAAACTTTTGTTGAGATTTGTGACACACGAACCTTAAAAATAGATCACATTCATTCCCTTAAATTTTTATAAGGAAAAAAAAAATTCCATGCCTTACTTAATTGCTATGGAAATAGGAGGAAAGAAAAAAATAAAGTAAAAAATGTCAACTTCCCTTACTTGGATGCTCCATGAAAAAGGCAGGGGAGAGATACTCAGCAGGCTTTTTAAAAAGAAAAAAAAAATGTTTTTTAATATAAAAAATAATGATAATTTTTTATTAAGAAAAATGTAAATAAAAAATTTAATTTTTTAATCAATTTTAAATTTTAATAAATATTTTTAATTAAACTCAATTACTTTTTTATACTTTTTATTTATTCAAATAAATAAAAACTATTTTTTATTATTTTTTCCTTGTTATTTCAACCTTTTTCCTCTTTTGTTTCTTTTCTTTCTATTTCCCCTGAATTCTAAACACACCGCAACTTAGCATTGCAGGCCTGTGTTTCCGTTTCATTCTTTCGGTAGGGGTAGGTAGGACTAGGAGTCTAGGAGATTAATAGGTTAATTAATATTCATTTATTCAACAATTTATTAGTATACTATTTTATTGCATTGTTCTTCCATAACATTTTATTAGATAATACAATAATAGAATTGAATAATTTTTTTAATATAATTGATCTCTTTCTTTTGAATAAAAAATGCAAATATAGCAAATATTTATATTTTAAACAGTTAAAAATGTTTAACAAAATATTATTAAATATTACTTAACTAGTATTTCTAAACGTATTTAAAAACTAATAAATTATTTTTATTTAGAATAATTTTAAAAGCAGAGATAAGGAACCCTTAAATAATACTTCTCTACGTTTTTCTTATAAAAAATAAAATATAGTATTTTTTATTCTTTATAATAAAAAATATAGGATAAATTTAAAATATATTAATTGTTAAATCCTTTTATATCTTTTTATTAGTGTTATTAAATATACAAGTTATCAATTATCTCATTTAATATTAAAGATAGTTTTAAGATAAAATTTATATTTATAAAAAAAAACTAATTTAATTTTTTTTTCTTATTCTTAGTCATTTTACCTTTTATTTTTTATAAAAAAAAAGATTGGAACGATGGATGAATTATTTAAAATCCCACTTAAAAGCGGGGCTCACAAGAGAAAAGTTATTCTTATCCAACAATTGTTTGTTTATAATTTTTCCTATTCTAACGGATGTTTCTATGAAATCCTCGTGCGCACGTGTCCATATTTATTTCCAAAGTATTTTTAGTTAATAATAAAAGAAACATCTGAAAAATCTAAAGCAAGAGTTTGAATCTACAGTTGTACACTTAGAGTTAAACCATGTCACCTAACTATGTTTTCTTAACTAGTTTTTTAAATAATTATCCTTATTATTAAAAATTTGTTAAATATTTTTGTGTTCGTATAATATTAAAAGTTTCTTTTTTATATAATACTTTTATTAAAAGTTAAAAAATATTTTAAGAGAACTTAGGAAAGTTATCTAGTTTATTTGTTCAACATTTCGGTGCATTTTCTGCAACTAAAATAATCAACAGCGGTATGCTTAAAAAATAAACACTTATTGTTCTTCAATTCAAGGATTTATTTCAAACAAGGACAACAATGAAATATCTTTAATTTTTTCAAAGTACTCAAATTTTTCATTATTAGCTTACACTTAACAGCTTCACTTGTTTACATAATTATTTATATATATATATATATATATATATATATTTGGGATATACTTAAAAGAAAATTTATTGATTCCTAAAATTAAAAATATAAAACTCAGTACTTAAATTTTCAAAATAAATTTGTCTATTTATAACTATTTAAATATTATTTTTTTAAAAAAATTGTTTACATCTATCTTATGAGTAATGTCACATATGTAAAAGTAACAATTTTTTACTAAAAATATTTATTATATATTTTTTAATGTAATAAATATTTTTTAAATTATTGTTTTAAAATCTTAAAATTAATATTAAGAGTTGATATTAATAAATCGAGAAAGAAATATTAAATCTAAATATTGCTGATTTAGTATTATTCAAATTGAGTAATGCCCTTTGAATTTTGAGGAAAAAAAAAAGTAGCTTAGGCGGGAAAGCAAGGGATGGTCAGGAAATTTCGGAAATTGAAAAATACAATCCAAATGCTCTTCATTCCTTCCTTAGTTCCTTTCCGATAGTTATTTAAATACAAATACAAAGTTCATCTTTAGACATCACAAACAGATTTAAGACAATGTATTTATGATTCGACCAACACCCAACACAATTCGATATGATGATGATGATGATATATATATATATATATATATATATATATATATATATATATATATATATATTTATTTATTTATTTATTATTTTTATTTTTTATTGCGTCAATATAGTTAAGAACTTTTTATTTCCTTTGGGTCAATGTTTTTACTTATCTTATTTTTTTGTGCAAGTGTAATGACTTATCACAATGAACCAAACTGCGACAACTTCAATAGCCCAAAACTGGAGCTATACTTGTTAACGTAAAAAGACGTCCTTTGATACCCAAGGGGTGAGCCCATTCTATATAGCAAGTGGGCCCACTAAGTTCATGAGACAATAAATTGTTAAATTTTACCCACTTTTAACACTTGGATGTTTTACACCACGAAAAACTAAACACTTAAAAACCTTTGACATTATTTAGAAGCATAAATTTACACAGATATCTACTCCCCCCCCCCCCCAACACATACATACAAATTTGTCTTTTATCCATATTCTAAAAAAAAAAAGAGTTTCTTATCGAACTTACAAGATGAAGATAATTTAATAAATCTTATTAAAATTAAAAATGCACCAAAAGATACTTTATTTGCCCAAAGCTTTCTCGTTATGTATGCAAAATTTAAAATTGTTAATGTGATTAATGATGTACGCTTTACCCAACAGAACTCGTTGCAAGTTGAAAACATGTACTGAAAATTATTTAATAGATGATTAAACGGTTGGCCCGTGACCTTAACTACCTACCTATAAGTTGTTCGTTAATTAAATCGACTTTGACATGGGAGATAACACGACTAAACACAGAATTTCGCATAATTTCTAACGTCCAGATGGATCCAAACACAAAACCAGTAAAAATTAAACGGAGATTACATGGACTGAAAAAAGTATCGGTTTTAGACGTATACAATCGAGCCTCGGGACAAATGACAATCAATTGAATAGCCTATCAGAAAGAAAATGTTATCCAACGTGAGTTCTAAAGGGTTACTGCTTATTACACTTTATTCCATGGAAAATTGGAAAATATTGTCTCAACTACACATTTAACAGCAATTGCTAATACAAATCTCAAACCTCAACTAAATGAAAGAAAAAGATATGGTACAACAATTTTTAATTTGTTAGGGACAGAGTATTCCCTAGAGTAAATTAATTTATTTGCGACTGTAACCAGATGGTGGCATTGGTTTCCTGTTTCCTCTTCTATCTAATACAGAATATTGATTGGCCGAATGTTGACCATATTCCCTGTGCTCACTCGAGTTGTTCCGTGGAGTCCAATTCTGGTAATCGCTGGATGGTTGAAAATTTTGGCTGTGGTTACCAACTTGGTGATGGTGACTGGCAAATGCACCTTGCGTATTCATAAACCTGGCATTCTGATTATTTCCTGATGATTGATATCCATGCCTTGCGTTTCCCCCATCACGATTGTTATTCCTTTCATAATGATGTGGTCTAGGATGTTGATAGTCATTTCTTTCATAAAAATTTGATTGCTGATTAGGATTGTACATCATTTGTGGTGGGTATGTTTGATTATAACCATACTGCTGAGCAGTAGGGACAGCACTGTAAGGTGCAAACTGTTGTCGGCCTTGGAGTGATGGAGCTGACATAGGAGGTGGCATTGCAACGTATCCTGGACGTGATTCATAGTTATAGGAAGGCAATGGTTGTCGATGACCCACTGGTGCAGGATAAGATCCCGGGGGTCCATTATGTGAATGGCGGAATCTATTAGGGTCAACCTTTGCCTGTAAGGAATTGACAACGAGTCTATGTGCTGCCTCTCCAAGCTCCCGACCCGAAACAGATCCTGGAGGGTTTTTCCTGAAATAGAAAACCAGAGCCCCAGTAAATTTTTAGCAACTAGATGGCAAGATGCTGCATGCATATAACAAACAGTAAATCATAAATTTAACCACGGAAGTCTTCTAACCCAACATAACTAAAAATCAAAGCATTACCTCCCATTTTCTGCATGTCTCCTACCCGAATCTTCATGCCATAAAACAGGTTCAGGTTTTAGATCCCCAATTGTCACAGTCTGTACATAAGGCAAGAGCATAATTTTTTTAATACCTCACATTGACAGTATAAGTATATGAAACACATGAAGGAAGCGAACTATTTTAAGCAGACTAGTGTATCTGGTAAACCATTAAAACTGAATGCTAAACCTGGGAAGGGAAATTTGTAAATAAACAGCAGTAGAAATTTTAAAACCTTTTTAGGATATTTAACTCCATGTGGCGGTTGGGTAATGTGTTTATGCGCATCTGGAAGTCTATAAATTGCACATCTGAGCAACAAGACATGAAAGGGAAATAAGATAAATTCCATCATGATCATAAAAGACATAAATCATGTTCTTAATAATTATACCCAGCATGGAGAGACTTACATCACATGGTTGTCCATGATATCTTCCATGCTTGCAACCGGAGACCTGAAGATAGGAGGGCAAGGTTCTCCACCACACAAAGATATGTAACCATTCATTCCACCACTGCATGTATCCCTAAATAACATCAGAAAATAGTCCAACGAGATCTTCAATTTCTACTTATGAATTTGAAAATATAAAGTAAATGAAATTGAAAATTTACTGTATTTGAAAACTGTAGTGAAGTTTTATCATGGTTATGGCCCAGCTTGAGTAAACTTCTAGAGAAATTCTTATTGGAGAAAAAAATCAATATAAGAAATGAATAAAACTTCTCTCATAAGTTGAAAACAACTTATCTCTTTAAATTTTAGATAAGTTAAATAAGGAAATTTTTCTAACTTATGAGAGAATTTTTATTATTTTTTTATACTGAATTTTTTTCTCTTATAATACTTCTCTAAAAGTTTATCCAAATTGGGCCTATATCAACCAGCTAAAATTTTGCTTGTTGAAGAAAAAATCATTATCACCAGATGAGATTTCAAACAATTGCCATACAGCTCAACAAACACATGCTCAAAAACTTACAACAAAGCCCATTCAGATTATCATACAACAAAGCTCAAAAACCTACAACATAGTACTAATTCTAGTCTAGCACATTCACAAATAGCACGGATTGTTTAAAAAGGATAGCCATGGATAAACCGTGGCTATTTTAAAGTTTTCCAGAGTCATTACACCAATGCCTGAACTTAAAAGATTAACTATGAACTAAATTAAATTTTCAGCAGCATTTATCTTATTAGTAAATTATATGCTCCATTATTTGAATCAACTTACAAATTATTTTTTTTTAAATATTTTAAGTGACAAAGTTTTGGAGGGGGTGTATTCAGACATAGCTTTAAATTAAAAAATCATAACATACTACCAATTTTGTGTAATAGACTCATTTATCAAAATCGTGTTTAATTATCAATGAAAACAAATGATTATAAAGGTTTACAATTTTTCCCTAAAAAGAAAATTTTAAATTCAATATGGACATTTAATAGAAATTAAAAGATCATATTATGGCTAGGCACATATGATCCTAAGACAAATTGTGTATCATGACCTTATTAGAGGAAAATTCAAAGATCATATTATGCATCTTTGAATTTGTCTCAGGATTATGGTAGGCCAAGCCACAATATGATTTTTGATTTTTAAGAAAAATACATATTGAATTTGAAATTTTCCCTTTAAGAAAAATTTGTATGTCTTTATGTTTATTTTTTCCATTGATAATTAAATAGAATTTTGATAAATGAGTCAATTAAACAGAATTGCTAGTTTTTTTTATGACTTTTTATTTCAAAGTTGTGTAGACATAATTCATGCAAAACTATGTCACCTAAAAAGCATGTACAACGATAAGTGAAGTCAACTACATAAATTACACGAAGCCACCGAACTTGATCAAAACTCCTATTCTCAGAAATATTATTTATCACTAAATCTCTTTTAATGATTTTCTTTACAGTTTTTCTAGGTCTCCTACTCCTTTTTACAGGATTAAATAGTGGAACATATCATCGCCAATAAGCTAAATGCTGCTGAAATTTTTAGTTCATAATTAATTTTGAAATTCAGGCATTAGTATTGCAACTTTGTAGACAATTTTAAAATAGCTACGGTTTAAACACACAGCTAACCTTTTTAAACAATTCATGTCATTTGCAAAGCATGATGCACCAACCTTTCTTTGGGATTGATTTTTTCCTTGACCTTGGCCCGTTCACTGTTTGGCATGTTTTTACACTTGTTGTCAAGTGTACTTATGCACGCAGAGAGAGGATGACAGGAATTCACAAAAAGCAAGTCAAACATTATAGCATTCCGCCGCGTTTCCTCTGCCTTTTATTTTTTAAAATATAGAGATTGAGTATGGACAAAATATAAGATATCAGTATATATTTTTATGGGAGGTGGGGGTTTGAGAACAGTAAAGTGAACTAAACAAAATGCATTTAAACTTAAAGGAGGATAGAGATATACTGTTAATAAGTTTTCAATTTTTTGAACTTCTGCAAGAAGACGAACTTCATCAATAAAAGGCAACTTTGCAATACCCTACAAAGAGGAAGGATAATAACATGAGTTATTTTGCTGCCATGCCAAGAAATACAAGGAGAAAAGTATAGGTAAATTGAGGATCAAACCTGCCAGGCATAGCGTTTGCCATTCATGTCCACTTCAAAGTCTGGCACACAACATCAATATTAAACAGGAGGGCATTATACATAAAACAGTAAAACTTCTAAAACTTATTTTAATAGCCCACTTTTTTATAGACATACCGATTGGATAAAAATCAATGATTGGTGAGGTTGGATCTGTCATAAGTTTCCTGTATGGCTCAGGAAGTGCATGAGCACTGCAGATATATCATAGTATCCATGTCAGACAAACTGACGTTTAGCATGTTACAATTGTTTTTCCCAAAATTAAAGTAGGGTAGGAAAGCAAACCTTGCAGCAGGAAAAACCCCTAGAAGCTGGTCAAATGGTTTGAATGGGGTACCCAGCATAAAGCTAATATTTAGCTCACCAAGGCCCTTCAGATCAGATGCAAAGGGTGCATAATGATAAGGATAAAACCTGTTTTATACCAAAAACAAAATTGATAAAATAAGACATGCAATTCTTTCGTAAGCAATCTGGATAAAGAAAAATGAACGTCATGGCAAGAAAAGCAAATTGATAGGGCCAAAGAAACTATTTAAAATGTATTTAAAGGAAATGGAAACAAGTATAAGGAGCTTTTTTCTGTAATTGATAGAAGACAGGATTGTCAGTTTCATCACCGCTGGCTTGTTATTTGCAGGTTTTTAATTTTCTATTTTTATGGCAATTTGAAACTTGAAAATGATCCTGAAGTGATGAAGGGTTTGTATAAATGTATTAAGTGGTTGTCTACAAGTAAAGAAGATGTGGACAATGCCTCCCATGAATTGTCAATATATAGAGGAATCAGAGGCTCACAATAAAGCAAAGGACTAGAACGGCTTCTTGTAATAGACATTTAATTATTTATCATGATGTAATTATGCAGGTAGCAATACTAATAAGTTGTTGCATAATTTGCAGCTAAATAATGGAAGAACTACGAACCACATGCCACGTTAACAAAACATTAAAAGTTGAGTTTAACTTGTAATTCATCCAAATGTGAATGAAATTGGAATATTTTTGAGCACGTAAGTAAATATCAAATAATGTCAATTTAAAGTACTTACTACTTGGTTTAACAATAGTAAGTGTGAAACTATTTTTTTATTATTATAAAATAGATCTATTCTAAAAATAATAGACTTGAACATTAAAGGTTGCAAAACTGATTTTCACTAAACATAACTAAGTTCTTAAATAACATTTTGAGTGTCGTAATGTGATGGATCTCATTCTCTTGAAGGATGTTAATGATAGCAATGATTGGTTGTTAGAAGAGACAGGTGATGATTGACGTGTTATAAATGAATTGGTGTTTAATGATTATAACTTGACTTGGAGAGCTGCTAATGCAATTGTGCTAGTGAGCCTATAGCCTATACTAGGCAGGGACCTAAATCATTAAACAATAATTACAATTGTTTTTTCCTCTACATATAAGAGAAAAAGAAAAGAAATTGTACAAGAAGAATGTGATGATTAAGACATAGAAGAACAGAAGGAAGAAGACATCTACAAAAGTAGAGATGAAAGTGATAATAAGACATCTACAAAAGTAGAGATGAAAGTGATAATAAGGACATGACAAATCTTGGAGATGAAGATAATGATACCTATTAAAAAATTTGTATTTGAATATTTAGTGATTCTAAACTTCTAAGCATTAGAGTTATACTTGTTTGGTTCCTTTATTTTGTTGTTATTGACATTTGAAATGTGTTATATTCTCAACCTTTCACTTTTGATCATTAGTTATGCATATCTTTAATTTGTATATTATTTTTTTATTTTTCATCATATATATGTGTGTGTGTGTAGCATAATTTATACTAGATGTATTACTGTACTTCAAATGTTTAACGGTCATCCTGCCATTTGCTATCTCTCGCTATAGCATTTTTTAGGTCGATCGTTGTTCGGGATTGACTACTATTGTTGTGTGCTTGCTGTGTGATTCCCTCCCTCTGCTCTAACAGCATGCTCTACTTGTGTGCTGTGTTTTTTGGTTAAGGAAGATAAGTTTAATTAAATGTACAAGACCTTGTGAATCTTTATAAGGCTGTGTCCCAATACACAACTTAATTAATCGCTTATTCAATAAACTCCTTATAGGATGAGCTCTACCATAAATTTATTGGAATAAGCTAAAAGCAACTTATTTTGATAAAACAATACCAAGAAATTATTAAAATAAGACAAAAATCTTATGGAAATTACAAATTATTTCCACAAGACTAGTATAAACTCTTCCAACCGCGTTTTAAGTTTAATTAAAGTGTATGGTGTAATTTTAGTGTTCAAACATAATTTTACATTACATTTCAGTCTGACTCTTATGATTGGTGTTATGATCCACTGATCCAATGACACCCCAAAAATTCACTAGAAATACTAAATAGAGAGTTCCATAAAGAAAAAGCAGTAGAACAATGAAAGCACAGGCCATCATTTATTACACAATTTCAATTCTATCAAACAAGTACTAAAGTTATCATTATCACCTAAAATTAGATCAATATCATAAGCAACATATAATACGTAAAGGAGAGCCAAAATAACTTCTGATTCATACAGTACTCCACAAAAAACTAGAAAAGGAACTCACCATTGCCAAGAACAAACCCCTTCATAATAATAGTGCATCACCCAACATAGGCCTTCAGTGTATTTCAAGACCTAAACGATAAACTGCAATAAGAAAACCTCGATCTCCATATAAATTAAAATCAATAACAACAATTCAACTTCTTAACTTACAACATCTTTCCGTATCATTTCAAGTTCCTCAGGAGTTTTAGCAGAAAATTTTTCCTCATAATACCTCTCTTTCCAGCCAGGTTCTCCCAACTTAATCTGTTGAAAATAGAAATAAAGGCCAATATTAAGTGAAGTAACAAATATAAAGAAAAATAAATTTCAATGAACAAAAACGCAGTAGAAAACCAACAATTGCAAGCAGTACATTTGGACTACACGTATGTCATGCTTCTCAAAATAGCAAGTATGCCTAGATCTAAAAAGAATTTATGTTACTATACATATCTCAATTCCAAAATTTGTTAAGTATCCCCATTCATTTAACAGAACTAAGACACATTAAGCATCTGCATTAACCCACAATATCCAAAGTTAATGTATCCTCCCCACCCCACAAGTGCACATTGATAGGAGTCAGGGTCCTAACCCAAATATCTTTGCAAATACTAACTTAGCCAAGGCCAAACCTTGGCTGGTGTACTCTAGAAGAAAAAAGACAGTTAATAATGTTAGTTAGCCGTTAGTAGTTACAGTAACTGCTAGGAATTAGTTTTTTGTTTTAAGGCCAGCTATAAATCATAGCTGGAAGAAGAGTGAGGGGTCTTTTTTGAAAGTTAGTTTCTGAAATTAGGCAGAGAAAATTCTCTGAGGAGCATAGCTCTGGGAAACAGAATTGTATACACAATAATCATCAATTCAATAAAGAATTCATAAAGATTGTCTCTTTCTACCCTTTTTTCTGGTGAACACAACACTGGTCCGACTTGCCGGATCACTTGGGGGAGAAACAGAAAGGTGTGGTCCAGCAAGAAATTTCAAGATGACAAAGTGTGGTGCAAATGAAGGTCAACGCAGTGATGCTGTTGAGGAAAGAATAAATTCCTTAGAGGAAAGATTGGATGTATTCATGGAAAAGCTGACTGGGAGGATGGGAGGTCTTGAAGATTTGGTTCAGAACTTCATTGCCAAACATGATGACTCATTGGGATAGAATCTGGGACAAGGTAATTCAGGTGCTGAAGAACAGAAAACATCGCATAATGCGGACGCTGATGAGTTAACTGAGTTTCGTTTGATGGCAAAGAAAGTGGAACTGCCGTCATTCAATGGGACTGATCCAAGGGGATGGATCACGAGGGCTGAAACATATTTTAAAGTTCAAGGAATATCGGACTCCAACAAAATTAAACTCGTAAGATTGAGCATGGAGGGAGGAACGATCTACTGGTTTCAAACTTGGCTTGATTCTGAGACTGTTCCCAGCTGGGAATCTTTCAAGAATGCGCTGCGATTACGTTTTGGAGGGGGGCGTTTGGAGTATCCTTTTGAAGAACTTGCTGACCTAAAACAGAAAGGGGCCGTGGAAGAGTACATTGAGGAATTTGAATTTCTTGCTGCCCAGGTGGGACGTTTGCCAGAGAATCAGTTTGTGGCATTTTTCATGAAAGGACTGAAGGAGCAAATCAGGTTGCGGGTCCGTACACTTCAGCCCAAGGATCGTTTGGATGCTATTCGAATGGCTAGGTGTGTGGAGGCAGAAGTTGTTGGGTTTGTGGATAACTTAAATGTGCATAGCAGATTATGGGATAATGGAGCTCTTTCTAGAGGATTCAGGGGTAATCTAGGGCGTTCACAATGTGACAATGCTCAAGTGCAGGCTGAGACAAAGTCTAAGTCCAATTTTGGAATTGATAATTCTTCATCTTTCACAGAAAGGGGACCAGTAGCCTCAGTGGGTTCTTCCACCTCTATCAATCAGAGACCTGTCCATTCCACATACAAGGATAGGGGAGTCAGATACCTGTCTAATAGGGAGATTCAGGAAAGGAGAAATAAGGGCTTATGTTTTAGGTGTGGAGAGAAGTTCCATCCTCTCCATGTTTGTGCAGATCGCCAAGATAGGCAATTAAGATTGGTAATTCTAGGGGAGGATGAAGGAATTAGTGAGACAGGGGAGATTGTAAGATTGGAAGTGGAATTTGATGGGTTGGAAGAGGAACAGCTAGATTGTACTTCAATAGATTTATTAGGGCTGATTGGGAACTCACATGGGAACATTAATACAATGAAATTAGAAGGCAGGTTGGGAGAAGTACCAATCATTTTGTTGATTGACAGCGGAGCCAGCCACAATTTTATATCTCCAAGAGTGGTCCAAGCTTTGGGCCTAAAGGTGGGAGACAATGAAGGTATTGGAGTAAAATTGGGAGATGGTCACAGAGTTAAAACATTGGGAACTTGTCCTACAGTTCATTTAAATCTTGGAGCTATTCAGGTTCAGATTGATGCACACATACTTGACCTTGGAGGCCTGGACATGATCTTGGGAATTGCTTGGCTGAAGACACTAGGAAAAATCATAATTGATTGGAAGGACCTCTCTATGACTTTCCAAGTGGATGGTCGCTCAATAGAGTTAAAGGGAATTGGTGGTGAAAGAAAGAATGTTGTTCCTACTTTCAATGAGCTCTTAGAGGGTCAACTTTGCAAGGTTGAAGGTCTAAATTGGAAGAAAGGAATTCTGGAATTCCCTGCGAATGTCAGTGAGTTGCAGCCCCAACAATTAGATGAGCTGCAGGGTTTACTGCAGCAGCATGCTATTATATTTGAAGAATTGAAGGGATTACCTCCCAAAAGGGCCATTGAGCACTCAATTGTTTTATACCCAGGTACTGGTCCAGTAAGTGTCAGACCTTATAGACACCCCCACCATCACAAGGATGAGATAGAGAGGCAAGTAAAAGAGTTGCTAGATGTCGGAATAATAAGGCATAGCACCAGTCCTTACTCTAGTCCAGTGATTTTAGTCAAGAAGAAAGATTCTTCATGGAGAATGTGTGTGGACTATAGAGAGTTAAATAAGGTCACAGTTCCAGACAAGTTCCCAATTCCAGTGGTGGATGAGCTGCTTGATGAGTTACATGGAATGAAGTTTTTTTCTAAATTGGACTTACGATCCAGGTACCATCAAATACGTGTTAAGGAGGAAGACATTGGTAAAACAGCCTTTAGAACTCATGAAGGTCATTATGAGTACCTAGTCATGTCTTTTGGCCTAATGAATGCTCCAACCACCTTTCAATCTACTATGAATCAGGTTTTCAGGCCTTTCCTTCGTCACTTTGTATTGTTTTTTTTTGACATATTAGTTTACAGTAGGGACTGGTCTGCACATGTTTTGCATCTTTCTAAGGTTCTGGAAGTTCTCAGGGAACATCAGTTTGTTGCTAATATAAAAAAATGTAGTTTTGTCAGAAGTCAGATTGAGTACCTGGGACATGTGATTTCTGAAAATGGGGTGACAATGGACCCTGCTAAGGTAAGCAGCATTTTAAACTGGCCAACTCCTAAGAATGTGAAGGGAGTGAGAGGGTTCCTTGGGCTGACAGGGTACTACAGAAAATTTGTTTTGAATTATGGGAGAATAGCTAAACCTCTCACTGAGTTAACCAAGAAGGAGGCCTTTGCGTGGAATCCAAGGGCTGAACAGGCTTTTCAGAAATTGAAGAGGGTAGTCACTTCTGCTCCTGTGTTGAGATTGCCTGATTTTTCACAAGAATTTCAGATTGAATGTGATGCCTCCAGGAGTGGTATAGGAGCTGTTCTTATGCAACACCAGCAACCTATTGCATTTTACAGCAAGGCCATTTCTGCAGGTCAGTTGTCTAAATCAGCTTACGAAAGGGAGCTGATGGCTCTGGTCTTGTCCATCCAGCATTGGCGTCATTATTTGATTGGGAGGAAGTTCACTATTTTTTTTTATCAGAAGAGTTTGAAGGAAGTTCTGCATCAGAAAATTACCACCTCTGCTCAGCAAAATTGGTTATCCAAGTTACTCGGATACCAATTCACAGTAGTTTACAAGGCGGGTACTGAAAATAAAGCAGCAGATGCCCTTTCACGAATCTACGAGGATATTGAGCTAAATGCTATTTTGTCTTATCCCGTATGGCTGCAAGGTGAGGCACTTCAAAAGGAGATAATGGGGGATGATTTTATTCAAAGGATGAAGACTGATTTACAGCAAAATTCTGTAACAAGGGCAGGTTATTCTACTCAGAATGGGATCTTACTGCATAAAGGAAGCATAGTTATACCTTCTTCTTCCTCTTACATTCCTCAGTTCTTGGAAGAATTCCATGCTTCTCCGGAGGGTGGACATTCAGGTTTTCTGAAAACTTATAGGAGGATTGCTCAACATATTTACTGGGTGGGCATGAAAAAGAGAATTCTGGAGTTTATCAGAAGTTGTGATATCTGCCAAAGACAAAAGTATGCAGCTACTTACCCAGGAGGTTTACTTCAGCCCCTATCTATTCCTTCCTTGGTATGGGATGCTATTTCATTGGACTTCATTACAGGGCTTCCGAAATCTAAAGGCTATGAGGCAGTTTTGGTAGTAGTAGACAGGTTGTCCAAATATGGGCATTTCATACTGCTTAAACATCCCTATACAGCAAGAACAGTAGCTGAGATTTTTGCTAAAGAAATAGTTCGTTTACATGGCATTCCCTCTTCAATTGTGAGTGACAGGGACCCACTCTTTATCAGCTCTTTTTGGAAAGAGCTCTTCAGATTACAGGGGACTAAGCTAAATATGAGTTCTTCATATCATCCTGAAACGGATGGTCAAACAGAGGTTCTAAATAGGTGTCTTGAGACATATTTAAGGTGCTTTGCCTCTGAACAGCCAAGGAACTGGTCCCTATGGGTGCATTGGGCTGATTCTGGTATAACACATCCTTCCACACTGCAGCAGCTGCTTCTCCATTTGAAATTGTGTATGGCAGGCCTCCTCCAAGACTTGCCCGGTTCCTTCCTGGAGAAACAAAGGTACAAGCAGTAGCCAGTGATCTACTAGACCGTGATGAAGCTCTTTCTCAATTGAAGTTTAACTTGCACAAGGCTCAGCAGCAGATGAAGCATTTTGCTGACAAGAAAAGAAGACCTATATCCTTTGAAGTTGGAGAGTTTGTTTTCTTAAAACTGCGTCCCCACAGGCAGCAAACAGTGGTCCGCAGGATCAATCCTAAACTTGCTGCTAGGTTCTATGGGCCCTACAAGATTCTGCAGAAGATTGGTGAGGTAGCTTATAAGCTACAGCTGCCTGAAACTTCAAGAGTGCACCCGGTATTTCATGTTTCTCAGTTAAAAAGGGCCATTGGTAACTACACTACCTCTCCTGATCAACCTAGAGGATTTGAAGTTGAACTTGAAGCCACAATTGAACCCGAGGCTGCTCTAGCTCAAAGAGAAGTCACCAAGGGCAACACGCCTTGCAACCAATGGCTGATCAAGTGGAAACACTGCCCTCCAGAGGATACTACTTGGGAAGATGAAGCTGTGCTGCTGAGCCAATGTCCTCACTTCAGACTTGAGGCCAAGTCTGCTCTTCTAGATGGGGAGAATGATAGGAGTCAGGGTCCTAACCCAAATATCTTTGTAAATACTAACTTAGCCAAGGCCAAAACTTGGCTGGTGTACTCTAGAAGAAAAAAGACAGTTAATAATGTTAGTTAGCAGTTAGTAGTTACAGTAACTGCTAGGAATTAGTTTTTTGTTTTAAGGCCAGCTATAAATCATAGCTGGGAGAAGAGTGAGGGGTCTTTTTTGAAAGTTAGTTTCTGAAATTAGGCAGAGAAAATTCTCTGAGGAGCATTGCTCTGAGAAACAGAATTGTATACACAATAATCATCAATTCAATAAAGAATTCATAAAGAGTCTCTTTCTACCCTTTTTTCTGGTGAACACAACACACACCCACACAAAATGCATAAGAAAGGGACAGTTTGTTGCTATAAGCTCCCACTAAGCAAAGGCTCAAGGGAAGGGTAGCACCACTACAACTGCCACGAGGCTGATTACATAACTTGAACAACTTCAACTTATCCCTTCAGCACACAAGAAAAAGCATTCTGAATGTCTCATCACTATCAGATAAACAAGTACAAATGGATAATCCTTCCAGGCAAATGCTTCAAATTCAAAATTAAGAAATTGTTAAATTTAAAGGCAAGGTTAATTTTCTGGATTTTTATTTTCATTCTGCAATCTCAAAAAAAAACTATCAAAATTTCATCAATAAAGACTATAGTTTCTACAATGGAAAAATTGATAACAATTACCAACAGAGCATTATCGCCACTACCAGTACCACTAGGTGGATATGGGAAAATTGGTAATGATTTAATTAAATCACTAAGATTTAATCCAATATCCACAGGCAAGATAATTTTCACAATATTTATTTCTTAGTAAAGTATTGAACACAAATTAAGCTGTAAGTGTTACTGAAAAACAACACTAGAATACCAAAAAAAAAAAACAAATAAAAGAGATGTTCCACCTTGTCCTCTTCAGCATTTTTTGAGTTGAATACATCAGATTTCTCACGAAGTATCTCCTTTAGCTTTGTTTTTAATTCATCTTTATTATCTTGAACCTGAAAAGCAAAGGAATACTAAACTCAGACAAGACACAAAAGAAATCCCCAACTCATCCTTAGAATAACAAGGATTTGACAAGACAACAAGGTGCATTTAATTCCTCGCCAGGCTCATACCCAGTAATAGGTTAGCCCGTATATTAGTTCTAAAGAATGCCTCTCCTGAAGCAGGAAAACATACTTCTATTTCAAGACTATTCTCAGCTTCAACAATAGCAGCAGCAACAGTTGCTCCTGAAGATAACTTAGAGATTTTATGAGGCCTCTCAAGGGCTTCTTTATTGTCTTTTCTAATTGTTGAGGACACGTGAGAGTGATAATTCCCAGGTTGTTGAAATGGTGAAGGAGTAGGAGCTGAAGCAAGACGAGAACCATGGAATCGTGAAACTGGAACTAGAGACTCCGGTTGAGCTTGAGGTTCAGCATCATCTCCTCTTCTTGCTTGTGCCTTCTCGCGCTTTATTCTTTCTGCTTGTCTCTGAAGGACCATAAATACAAAGAAAAATTCACTTCAGAGGCAGCAGTCAAACATCTATATCTATGAACAAGAAAAACTATACACGGATATGAACTTTTATTATCTCTCACTCTGTTTCAAACATGCTGTCTCCATATACTAAATGGCCCTAGATTATGAATAAAACTCGTATTGTTCCCAAGCATTGCATGGGTATCGAAAAATAAATTATTTTTATAAATAATAATAATAAAAAAATTGTATGGTTATTTTTAAATTAAATAAATTTTATAAATTTAAAAAGGAGTAAATATTATAATTAATATTCTACTACATTAAAAAATAAACTAAGAAAATTTTAAAATTTAAATTAATATTGAACTAAAAAAATAAATGCATGACTTTTAACCCAGTAACAAAGGGTACAAGGAGACCCAAAAGAACGTTAGAGGAAGTTATAAAAACAAACCTTTTGATTAATTATATTTTTGAAATTTTGATTTTTGACTGAACTTAATGACGCTGTATGATTCATGTAGCTGACGTCATCTAGAAGGATAAGATTTGGCTGCTGTTGTTATTGTTGTGGTAAAAAAGTAAATGCATAATATAATATATTTATACATATATATATATATGATAAGAAGACAAATAATACCTAAAAATGTTATAATTTGAGAACATTCCAAAAAATGTTCAGGCTTGAGAATATTCCTAAAAACACTTCGCTTTAAAAATTAGCACTCAAATTATATAAAGATATTGATTTAAGTATTAAATAGCGTCTCATGATATGAGAAAGTAATAAAAAGCAATTAACTACCAGCTAACAATTGATTTGTGCAATTCAAAATGCATAAAAGATATCTGAATAATTTAAACTCCCTTAGCAAGCAGCCAGACAAAATTGATGAAGGTAAATTCATGCATAACAAAGCCTCAGTTCTTTTCTTAATTCTCTCTAGACCACAATATAAATATTATTTACAGCACTTGACCATCAATGAAAGCTAACTGCAGGCTAACATCGGTAATGAATGCTACAAGTTCAACAGACCTGATGCAATCGAGCTCTTTTCTGGAATATTTTATCCTCATAGGATCCAACAGCCTGAATAAAGTGCTCCACCCTGCTCAAATTTGGCTGAGAAAAGCAGGGAGAAAAAAGAAATTATAAAAAAGCAGTATTCAGATGAAAAAGTCACATTGCATACCATATGAAATGAATCACTCGCTACCCTCAAGTACCTGGCTTCCATTTGTTAAATAACCACCCAAATTCCTAAATTCCTTTTTGTATACTGCCAAAAGCAAGTTAATTGCACCCTATATAAAAATAATGAAATTCCCAACAAGATCAGTCACATAAACTAAGCAGCATACAAAACATTGCTCATCAGGTCAGATAATGCACAGCCAAAGTCATAGTACAACAATTGCCAAACATAAAAAACTAAGGATTTAAAAAGGACGCTTAACATTGGGACTTGCTTCTGCTCTTACAAATTATGCAATGAATCACGCCATTCAACAATAGAACAAATTTCACCATTAACTTTTCTCTCTTAATTGGTTAAATAGAATTGAGGTTAGAATAAAAAATTGTTCTCTATTCTTGTACCAGTATACCCATTGGAAAGGTTATTGATATGATAACACCCTGTGGCTTTGTCCCATTATTAAATGTAAAAGATAAACCCAAAATCCAAATTCAAAATTTAGTCCAAAACTGACTATAAGGTCAAGCCCATGAAATGCTAGGTCACTACAAATTAAAGGCCACCTAAACTCTCATACATCTACCAACAAAAATATCTGGAAAATCAAACAGATATCTCATTTTGAAGCCATTTCTACTTTCCCATATCTGTTAAGACTGATCCATACCATATATTTTGAAAGCGTTTTGATTCAGTGACACCAATACAAAAGTGCATGCCAGTCTAAAATCTAACTTCCAAAAGCTTGAGATTTTCATATAGTTGATTTGTAATCCTAGACTACAAAATCCAGTATGACCACCCATATTCTATATTAAACTAAATTTCAAGGTAAAGTGGGTTTAATACTTGTTGATTCATGCCTCAAGCCCAAACTGCTTTCACATTAAAAGGCATGTTAGATATATTAAGTCATTTATGTCTAACAATTTAGGTTTTTTGATATATATAAGAGAGAGAGAGAGAGAGAGAACACAAGATCTAGAATACAAACCTCACGAATCTCTAGCGTAGGCATATGTGGCAGGAAATCATTGCCCACAAAAAAACACATGAAGATAAAATCATCCAAAATGCATTCAAAATCAATATCAAAAGCAGAATTTGGTATTCTCATCTCATACTCCAGATATTCCCTCAGAGTCCAAATGTTCAGGAACTACAAAAGAAATAAGCATAAGTGAGAAGTAAGCACTAAGTTACCAAAACTATTTTGTCACATGAAATAGAAGATAACTATAGGACATGTATGAAATTCAAATATCAAATCCTGACCTGGTAGGGCTTTTTAGCTACATTTGCCCCTCCTTTTTCATCAAACTCTCCTGCCTTCCTTTTTGCCTTTCCTTCACAGTCTGCAGCAACATGACCCATCTGACCACAGAGGAAGCATTTGTCTTGTCCAGGAGTGAATACAATCTGCAACAACTCATTATTTATCAAGACATCAATCACTCAATATGGAAAGTCAAAAACACCACATAAAATTGACAACAATCATTCTTCATCGTATACATCATGTTATTATTTTACCATGCTAATATGCTCTAATTCAGAGACTCAAAACAACTCATTAGACACAAACCTCTCTAAGAATTGAAAAATGGATTTCATGGGTAGCCAATGCCAACATAATCAAATCAGCATCCTGTCAAGAGACACCAAATAATAACTAATTATATCCATGAAAAATAACGCAAAGAAGACACTTAATGAAAAGAGTTAGGTGTTCTTTCTTTCTTTTGATAAAAGAAGGGTCAAATTTTCAAGAGTAACAAAATATTAGAAGATATATACCAAACCATATAGGCAATGCCGTGTATTTGGATCAAAACCTTTCAGATTTCTCTGTAGGCGAATATAGGACATAATCTTATGCTCCCCTTCGCCAGGAACATTTGCATCAGAAAGAATAACCTTAAGATAGATATAAACATTAACCATAGCATTAGGATTCTCCTCTCCACTGAGACACACATTTGCTCCAGCCAAGAAGTTTAAAAAAAATGAACTTGCTACCTTAATGTTTTGCCAACCAGGGTCATTGTTCAACCTAAGATGAATATAGTACTGAAGTGCAATTGACAAAACAGCCATAAATTCAGTCCCAGGTGTAATGACATTTGAATCAAAAACCTGCGACTCATCTTTAGGAGGAAGCTTTCTGCCCTCTCTCTCAAATTCCTCCCTTAACCTTGCTTCTTCAGCAGCCTATCACACAAACATGGGAACTAGGCATCATTTCAAATATTTTACCATTTTCCAGAGAGATGAAAATTACACAAGATATACATCAGTAACACAAGATGAAAAGGCAACTACACCAGTCACAAAGGAAGGAATGAAGGCAAGAAACACTCCCAGTTGCACCCAAGAATATTACAAGAGAATTTATATTTTACAGTAAAACTATCTCACTTTCATAAATATTTTATCAGTAGATATAAGCCACAAAATTGAGATTAAAAAAAAGGAGTAGAACAATACACGAGACCAAGACCAGAGCATTCACTATTTCAATATTTATCAGCAACCAGAGTACCAGACAACTCCACAATTCAAGATTTCAAACACTGACTAGTATGGTATAGCACTGATTCAACTGAATTGTTAAAAACAACCAAAGACTATAAGTTCATACAAATTCCATAACGCATCCCAAAATGTCCAAACCACAAAACACCTTACGAATTGCAAAACAGAGCAATACATACCGCAACAGCAGCGTCTTTGGCCGCCCTAAACCGCCGAGACCGTTGTTGGTTCATTTTAGCCCTCGGTGCAACACCATCTACAAGATGAATCCAATCTAATAAACAAACAAGCCTCACCAATAACACACAGCACAAGCATCGCAAGTGCAAATAATCACAACGCAAACGCACTCACCAATAGCCATGTAGAGCAACTTCCGAGGCCGCACCATGACGAATAGCCTGTCAATGTAGTCAAACATGCACTCAAACACCTCATCGAAAGAGGTCGGCGATGGCTGCAATCAAACAACTCAAAATCACTCACATTCTTGAAATCCGATAAGAAAATAGCAAAGAATCGTAAAGACTTACCCTATCCTCAGGGTGGAAACAAGGGTGAATGATGCCGTTCATGTCGAGGTAGAGGTTATCGTATTCGACGTTGTTAGGGTTCTTCTTACTCGTATCCACCGGGATTTGAACGCCGTCGATGACGACAGGTTCCTCTTCGATGGCGTCAACAACCACTAACGGATATTTCTCCGCCAGCCATCTATAGAACGCTGGGACTCCCATTTTTCACTCCCAAACTCAGATCAATTCAGCAGAACCTCTCTTATCCAATTCTCTCTCTAACCAAAATGAAGAATATGCGAATACAGGCAAATCAATGATTCTACTGCGTGTCCAATATCTTACTTGAGCTATAATACTGGTATCCCGCGTGTTAGCTTGCTAGGGCACAATACCGGAATGAAGGGACAATACTTCCCTTCGCAAATTTTGCCTAGGGATTTTGATTTTCCAGATATTGAAGAGCACTTTTTTGTCTTTGTCTTTCTGCAGTATAGCGGTCAGGTTTTAATTTATCGTCGTCCCCTCCCAGTTGCCTAGGTTTAAGGCTCGGCGGGGCCAGACAAGATATTTTGCTGCCGATATGTCTTTACCATATCATATTGCATTTAATTTAATGATTGCAAATAATAATAATAATAATAATATTGCTATTATCTTAAATTAATATAATTAATATTTAATTATTCGTATCATAATAATTAAATATTAATAAAATTTTTATTTTCTTAAATTAATATAATTAATATTTAATTATTCATATTATGATGATTAAATATTAATTATATCATTAAATTTTGAAGATGAAACTATTTTTGAATATTATGTTAATATATTTTAATTTAGTATTTATTACTATGTTTATAAATTTAAAAAAAAAATTATATTTTTGTTAAATTAACAATTATTTTAATGATTTTTTATAATAAATCACTAACTTCTACCACTAATTATATATATTTAATATAATATTAACGATAATTATTATTTTATGTGTAAAAATACATACAATAACATCTTAATCTTTAAGATATTATAAAAATTACTTTAATTTATGAATTAGTATTTAATAAAACCATTTATTCAAGTTTTTTTAATGTTGATTTGCTTCTATTTTTTATAAACTATACTTTTAATTTTTTTTTAAAAATTAAGAAAAACATAGGCATGTTTATTTAAATATTTAATAAATTTAAATTTAAAAATTATATTTTTCATCATTTTGAGAAAATATTAATTAATTCATAGAGCACACTGAGATTTTTTGTTTTAATATAATTTTTCATAAAATATTTATTAAAATATTTTTTCACTTGCAGTAGTAAAATTAATATTTTTATTAATTTTTTTTACTATTACTAATGAAAATGTTTCACCTTAGTAATTCATGTCATGTAAAGAAAGTTTTGCTAATAATAATGGTAAAATAAGCTATTTAAAAAAAATGAAATTTGAATTTTGGCGACTAACTATTAGAGATTATGATGTTTTAGTATGAAGTGAGTTTTAACACTAAGATTAGTAATTTCTTAAGAGCTCTAACATTATTAGTTCGATGAATATTTTTTCTTTGTGTTTTTTTTTTCTTTTTAATTCTTTATTTATTTTAACATTTTTCTACTCTATCTCATCATTGTTATTTTTAGTTATTTTAGTTCAACTTCTAAGTATTTTTTTGGGTGAGAGATATTACCATTTTTTTGTATTATTACTTTATATAATTATATATTAATTTATTTAAAATAATTTTTTAAGTGATAAATAGTTCTATAATTATGATGTCACAGTTGATTATTTTTAAGAAACAGTTAGTAAATTTTTTATTTTATATAATAATTTGATTTTTTATGTAATTTATGATTTTATATAATAATTTTTTATACAATTTATTATTGTTATAATAAATTGTTAAAAATAATTTAAATTTAGTAAGATTATAATTTGTAGTAGTATAGTTATTCTTATTATTATATTTATTATGATTATAATAATAAAAATTTGTTACGTACCATAATTATTACTTTATTTTTATTTAAAAATTAGTCATCTTTGCTTGGTAAAAAGGAAAAGAAAAAAATAGAAAAATAAATTATAAAATATGTAAACTATCTAACAGTAGAAGTCTAGAATATGCATATGAAGAATCATTTAGAAAGTAAATGGATCTTCAAATAGTATCAAATGAGTTAATTTATCAATTAATGAGTTAAACTCGCAAACATAATATGTAAGTATATGAGAAAAAAATTTCATAAAATAATGAATATCTTGCAGAATAAAATGCACTTTAAGATAGACTGATCTTGATTTCTTCATAATAAGGTTCACCACTTCTAAACAAATAGATTTGAAAATTATCCTATAATAACTTTTCAATTTGGTCAAGTGAAGTCCCCAAAAGATTGTTTTCAACTTAATACAAAGAGTAAACTCATTACCATTAAAAAAAAGTAGACAATATTAGTCATTAACCATTACAGTCTCGTATAGCACAACCACAACTCATCATACAATTACCATCTACATTAATTTTATTGTACTCAAATGATGGTAGATACCATGACAACTTTTGAAAATATGTGTAAGTTTGAGTGTTATCTTGTTTAAAATTAGTATAAAACAATCCTTCTTAAATTGACTAATAAAATTCAAAACATGATAAATATTTCATTTTTTCTTATTAAAGAGCATATTATTCGTCTAACATTAAAGCTCCCAAAGAATGGATAAATAAGAAATATAATTTGTGTGTCGAGCTAAGGTAGCAATCCAAGTGGTAGTAAGGTTGTGGAAATTATAATGGAGAAATGACACCTTTAAGTAAAACCAAATTTCTTTAGAATAAATAAAATTGTTGAGACAATGGTTAATATCTTCAAGCTCATGAGAACACCTAGGCAATAACTTGATGAAGCAAACGACAATGATGATGAAAAACATTATTACACAAAGATCCATGATAAATAAGCCAAATAAAAAATCTAATTTTTTTAATTATTGACAACTTTTAAACTTAATCAATATATGAAATTAGTAAACAATTGGATCTCAAATCGTTGAATCAAGCGTAAGTTGCCTTTGTGAAATAAGTCTCTTTTGTACCTCTCTAATATCATTGATCTTCAATATTTCTATTTGTTGGCCCTACACACTGGTGTATATAGGCTTTGATGTCACAACAAGAAAATACCTGATTAGCCATCGAATTTAGAAACTAAAATAAATATGTAGCAAATAGTGACTAATTTAGCGACCGAAATTGGTCTGTTGTAAATAGCAACCAAATTTAACAACAAAAAAAGGTAGCAAACAGCTACTAATTTTAGCAACCAAAGTAAATTAGTGACAAATAGCAATCGAATTTAGCAACAAAAAAAAAGTAGCAAACAACTACCAATTTTAGCAACTGAAATAAATCAGTGACAATTAGCCACCGAATTAGGTAACCCAAAAAAATAAGTAGCAAACAGCTACCAATTTTAGCAACCAAAATAAATCAACGACAATTAGCAACTGAAAAAAATAGGTGGCAAATAACTACTGATTTTGGCAACCAAAACAAAAATATGGCAAATACTAACTAATTTAACAATGAAAAAGTATTTTATGTAAATAGCAACCAAAATTAGGAACTAAATCTGTAGCAAATAACTACCGAATTTAGCAATCAAAATAAATTGTGACAAATAGCCACCAAATTTAGCAACTCAAACAAACAAATAACAAGTGTTATTTAGACACTAAATACAAAAAAATATATAAAATTCATAATTTTAAAATAAAAATTAAAGTTGTTCTCAAATGTATAATTTTTAATTAAATATCTTGAATATAATTCAAAATATGTTATAAAAAATAAAAATAATTTGTTAATTATTTACAAATTTTATTTAATTTTTTTAATCTAAATATGTATGAATGTTTATATATATATATATATATATATATATATATTAAAAGATAAAAATTAATTTATACATATATATATATGTCTAATTTTTAAAAAGAAAAAATAATAATATTTTAAAAAACATAAAAATATATTTGTTGAATAAAAATTGATATCAAATTCATATATTTTAAAAACAACAAATTAAAACCATTGTAAAAAATAAATAAACTATAATTATAAAATGTTACTTAAAATTAAATTAAATAATAATTATAAAATGAAGATTAAGTTTATAGTTATAACTATTGTTAAATAAATTATTTTAAAAGATAAAAATAACTATTGATTATTGTATAAAATTGTTCAAATCTTTCTATGATCATTATATTATTAATTTAGTAACATAAAATTAATAATTTTTATAAATGATATAGTTATGTTTTTAAAATATAATAAATAATAATTATCAATTTATGTCTATATTTTAAAATTATAATTATAAATCAATAAATTTAAATTAAATTTTATTATTGTAATCAGAATACTTCCACGCCAGCAAATCTTGATTAATTAAGATAGTGGTAATGTAGGCACTCCATAAAATGTGAATATGTGTTGGATCGTGTTAGCGAACATGCACGCTCAATAGTAACTTTCCACGTCGCCTTAATTCAGTAAACAAAGTTCATTGGTACAAAGAGAGAAGCAGGAAAAGCTCCTTTTAAATACCAAACACGCATCATTCTCTCTCTCTCTCTCTGGTTCGATTCCTCTCTTCTCTTCAATCCGAAATCTATTAGAGTTAGGGTTTCATTACCTATTTCATTTTTTATTTTTGATTTAATTGTTAATCCATTCTCCTATTGACTGTTGATTAATCATTTTTGTTTTGCTGTTTCATTCGGTGAATCCGGGAATTATTTCAAATGCAATTTTGAGCTAACAGATCCACAACAAGGTTTCATTTTCCAGATTCTTTTGTAAAATTTTTTCCCTGGCCAACAAGTTAGATTATCATTATGTTATGCAAATTTATAATCGAGAATAAATCTGATAGCATGCATTAATACCATCCATATTGTGTGTGGTACATGCCAATTGAAATGGATTTGCAATAAGCTTTTTACCCTTGTATATTATGTTAATATATATTCTCTTAAGAGTCTAAGCGCTTAAGAACTTAAGTGTGAACGTGTTTGTGTCTGTCTCTATGTGTGTCTGTGAGATGTTAAAAATGACCAACCAGTAGAGACAAGAAAAGTAATCACTACTTTACCTGCCAAGACCCACTAGCTACTCAACTAGACGCATCCTCATGCTACTACTACACAAAAACGTTAATAACTAATAATATCAAATATGGCTTTCTAATTTTTCTACATAATTTTTCTGCATTTTGTGTAGTTTTTTTTTTTGCATAATTTCTGCACTATGTTTGCTGCATGAATTTTTTGTATTCTTTTGCATTTTCTGCATAATTTCGTTTTTCATTCTCCTGCATAATTGTAATTTTCATTCTGTATAATTTTCTAAGTTTTCTGCATGTTTTATTTGTAGTTTTCTGCATCATTTTTTGTTGAATTCTGCATGATTTTGTTTTGCATTTTTTTGCATAACTATCTAAATTCTTTGCATAATGCATTGTTGTTTTTGCATTTAGTTGTACTTTTCTACAATGTTCTGCAATAATTTT